AAAAGAAGTTGATGTTAGTAAACGTTGAGATAAAATGAATATAGTCTTTTGTTATTTTTTTTTATTCATTTTCAGTTTTAGTGAGATAAATCGAATAAATAAAAATAAATAAAAATAAAGAGTTTTTTTTTCCGTACAACTCCAGATTCCATGTTTTAATGCAAGATTACGTGCGTATCTCGCTGTAATTATACTCCAATACAACTCTCCTTATCTTTCAATTTCAGAAGTTAAATTTCTTTGCTTACAAGCTATTTTTTTGCACAGGGACACTTACAAATTGTAGCATATATAATTTATGTGGTTTTCGTTTCTTATATTTTTACGGGTGGAATAGAAAAATATGGTGATTTTCCGGTGGCTTGTGGCGACGGCTCTAGCGGCGGCGCTCTGTATTGTGAGTGGCCGCCATGTGAGCTACGACGGGAGGTCTTTAATGATCGATGGGCAGAGGAAGCTATTTTTCTCCGGCTCGATTCATTATCCAAGAAGCACACCCGATGTAATTAATTCTCTCTTTGTACGTTTGACTTTTTATCTTTATGTGTGACTTATCAATTATTTATGAGTAAATCGAGGAGGATTAAACTTTGTTTCCTGATTAACTATCACTACCAAAAAAATTGTGTCATGTTTGAAAGAAAAACTCAACGGTTGTGCCATATTTCAAAGAAAAATTCAACGGATATTTCAATAATATAATTTTTTTTTAAAAAAAAAATCAACGGTATAACTTTCGTTGTCATGATTCAAAAAAAATATTGAGTTGAAATGAGTTTGCAATTGAAATTTCAGATGGAAGTTGAGTTTTCAACGGCAATTTTTCCAACAGTTGACATAGGTAGGCATTTTCGTTGGAATTTTATTTCAACTCATATTAGTCAAAAGTCAACGGTAATTACATTTATATACTGCAAGAAAATTATAAAAGTTTGAAGGAAAATTCCAACTGAAAAATATTTTAATGGAATTCCAAATGCAATTTTAATTGATGTTCCAATGCTCAAAATATATTTTAATCGAATTTCAAATGAAATTTTAATTGATGTTCTAATGCTCATTATTTTCGTTGAAATTTTCCAATGAATCCCAACGATAATATTTCATTAGAATAAATTTTCAATTGGAATGTTTGAACCTAATTTTTAAGTTCATATACTATAAACACAAATGTTGTCGGGCCTAGTTGTTAGGCAATCAATCTTGACTACAAAAAAAAATATTTATACTATAAACTATCATACTTTTGTTTATAAGTTGTGTCCTCGAGTTTGAACTCATAAATAGTATTTAACTCCTTTTCATAATCAAACCAAATAATAAAAATAAAAATTTTTTCATAGGTTTTAGACCTACCTACCTGTGTAAAAACTAAAAAGATAAAACGGTCTAGTTGATTTCATTCCGAGCTGTTGATATATGTTAATTAATTCTAGAAGGTTTCAAATTAAATGGTCTTTTGCAGCAGGTGTATATAAACTTAATTCCTTAATGTTTAATTTTTATTATATATAGAGATCATCCAAATTTATCAAAATTTATTGCAATTCATGTCCAGATGTGGCCATCCCTAATATCAAAAGCCAAAAGTGGAGGACTTAACGCAATTGACACTTATGTTTTCTGGAACCTTCACGAGCCCCAACCAGGACAGGTTCATTTATTTTTATTTTATTTTTCTCTCTAGCAAAACTAAATATAAAATCAATACTCAATATATATATACATATATATTCAACAATGCTTTTTCAGTATGATTTCAGGGGGAGACATGACATAATAAGATTTATAAAGGAAGTTGAAGCTCAAGGCCTCTATGTTTGCCTTCGAATTGGACCCTTCATTGAAAGTGAATGGTCCTATGGGTAAATAGCTAAATTGACCCTTCATTAAAATTTATTATTATTATTATTATTATTTTATTCTTCTTTCAAATAAACCATTACTCTATAGCACTGAAAAAAAATAGATAATATATAAGTAGTGCTGCTAAATGTTAATATATGCTAATGCTACTGCATGCAGGGGCCTTCCTTTCTGGCTTCATGATGTTCCCAACATTGTTTTTCGATCTGACAATGGACCGTTTAAGGTTTCTT